TTAGTCTGTTCTGATTAAAAATTCATAGATTTGCAGTACTGACAAATCCAATCCAACGACCCCAATTTAAAAAATTGGTACTTTTTAGAAGGGACTTCCAGAGCACATTTAACACCATCACTGCCCTTTACCTTTTTAGTTCGATGGTTCTCTACATGTTTTTTTTTTCGTTCTGCATGTCTCTTTACACCCGGTTAATGATTACCTTTTCTTTTTCTTTTTGTACTTTTCACATCCTGGGGTTAATGATAAAGTTTTATAACGCTATAATGACCCGAGTCAACATCGCCATTAAACATCAAGTCAGATACTTCTTCGCCAGAACCGAAATCGTAAGTCACAGTTTCTCAAGCAACTTCCCTGTGTAGGCCTACTCGATAAAATATAGTTAGGGTATAGTTCACTGATAGATTGTAGTTCCAAATATCAAAGCGTACTCGCCATCTCGAGAAGGTAAAATTTGGACGTCGAACACTGATCTTGAGTAAGATTAATCACTTACGATTTAAAATGTTTGTATGTTTACCAATCATTAGCAATTATCTGTAGGCCTACAACTTGCAAGCGGATTTCCCTATGATTGTTCTGGTGGCTATAGAGAATAAATTATATTGATCAAAACAATAAGTTTCCGTCCCCTACTATGGGTATTATTTCACATTCCATACTCAAACTTAAACTCAATTACCACTTTCCTTCAGATCACTTTGCAGGAAAACTAAAACATTTTTGTGTCCCAGTTAGTCTGTTCTGACTCGAAATTCATAGATTTGAAGTAGTGACAAATCCAATCTAACGACCCCAATTCAAAAGAGTTGGTATTTTTTTAGGGACTTCCAGAGCACATTTAACACCAACACTGCTCTTTACCTTTTTAGTTCGATGGTTCTCTACATTTTTTTCCGTTCGGTATGTCTCTTTACGCCCGGTAAATGATTACCTTTTCTTTTTCTTTTTGTACTTTTCACACCCTGGGGCTAATGATAAAGTTTTATAACGCTATAATGACCCGAGTCAACATTGCCATTAAACATCAAGTCACATACTTCTTCGCCAGAACCGAATGGTAAGTCACAGTTTCTCAAGCAACTTCCCTGTGTACTTGAAAAAAAAAAATCACTGATATATTGTAGTTCCACGTATCCCAGCGTACTCGCCATCTCGAGAAGGTAAAGTTTGGTACCACTGAACGTCTAACACTGATCTTGAGTAAGATTCGTCACCTACTATAAAATGTTTGTATGTTTCCCACTCATAAGCAATTATATGTACAACTTGCAAGCGGATTTCCCCATGATTATTCTGGTGGCCGTAGAGAATAAATTATATTGATCAAAACAATAACTTTCCGTTCCCTACTATGGGTATTATTTCACATTCCATACTCAAACTTAAACTCAATTACCACTTTCCTTCAGATCACTTTGCAGAAAAACTAAAACATTAAAAAAAAAGTTAACAAAAACACGTTCCTTGATCAAAATCGTGTGTTTATAAACAGAAACTCCAAGTTTAATAATTGCATACTGAAAGTGAGGTTATAAAAATAATAACAAATGTCTGACAAACATTAAACAGCTGACGAATAATTTATAAACTTTGTATAATATTCTTCAATAAGAATTATATTGACTCGACCTTTAAAGGGCTGTAGGTCGTAGCCCTTAGAAAAAACGTAAATTCTAAGGAAGTTCGGCAAATCTACACACTATCCCCTTTAATTTGAGATATAAATCTTGTAGATCGGTCCAGTAATTACTGAGAAAACAGTGTTACAACTGTGTATTAAATATATAGATTGTGTTGCTGTCTGCCATCAATATTGAATGTTTTGGTAATGCAGTGTGACGTGTTTAGCAAGTTACACTCTATATACAGCCAGTCTAGTGGTCAATACAAACCTATTGTGTTGCTGTCTGCCATCAATATTGAATGTTTTGGTAATGCAGTGTGACGTGTTTAGCAAGTTACACTCTATATACAGCCAGCCTATTGGTCAATACAAACCTATTGTGTTGCTGTCTGCCATCAATATTGAATGTTTTGGTAATGCAGTGTGACGTGTTTAGCAAGTTACACTCTATATACAGCCAGCCTATTGGTCAATACAAACCTATTGTGTTGCTGTCTGCCATCAATATTGAATGTTTTGGTAATGCAGTGTGACGTGTTTAGCAAGTTACACTCTATATACAGCCAGCCTATTGGTCAATACAAACCTATTGTGTTGCTGTCTGCCATCAATATTGAATGTTTTGGTAATGCAGTGTGACGTGTTTAGCAAGTTACACTCTATATACAGCCAGCCTATTGGTCAATACAAACCTATTGTGTTGCTGTCTGCCATCAATATTGAATGTTTTGGTAATGCAGTGTGACGTGTTTAGCAAGTTACACTCTATATACAGCCAGTCTAGTGGTCAATACAAACCTATTGTGTTGCTGTCTGCTATCAATATTGAATGTTTTGGTAATGCAGAGTGATGTGTTTAGCAAGTTACACTCTGTATACTCCAGACTGGTGACACATACAAAACTGGGTTAATGTAGAGTATGACCAATAATACGGTCCACATGACTCACGATTACGGCACGGTGTGCAGTCCAGAATTATACCCCGTACCCAATTTATGCTATGACCGAGTACCTCATGCAACGAGACCTATACGTCATGCAACACCGATATCATATGCCACCTTAATGTAACTTTTATTGTTTTATGCCAACTGTATGAATTGTCGATTTGTCATTAATTTTCAGTAGGCCTATATATTTACTTAGAAACTGAATACCAAGCCATACGTGTCTAAACACTGAATACTTCACCACTTCTACCACCCCAGGCTACCTTTCCACAGATCTGCCTGTTTAATTTTACACTCAGTGTTTGAGTTCCTGAGCAACTTTGAAATTGGGTCGTTGTTTTATACAAAGGATAGCATAGGCGGTTATATAAATCAGCCAAGCCTTTAGTTTGAGAGTTAAGTGATATTTTAGCTCTGTTGACTGATTTACTGACCAGTACACAGTCGGTTGTGGCAGTTTGACTGTTGCTAGCGGAAGTGGTACGATCGATGCAGCGTCTTCGCTTGTTGCATTCGCATCCAGCCCGGGGCTTGACTGTCCTGTCTGTGCCGCTGCTATTCAGTATTGCCGATGAAATAAAAAAATCAATTGCCTTACCCAACACTAATTCCGTTTTATTTTATGATATACAATAAAATAATTTTAATAAATTGCCTCCAATAAATCAGTAATGCATTACACTTAACTTGTCGACTACTAAAACATGGCAAAGTGAACACTGGAATATAACATTGATTAATTTGTTCACATAAGTAATATTTAACATGTAAGTATGAGAGGAACTATGAAAACAAATCTTGAGGTTCTAAAGCAGTCATAGCATTTGTCCTACTAGCTTATTTAACAGTTATAATACTCAATGAATACTATAATAATGGTAAAATCAATCGAAACGTAGTTGGAAATGTTTCTATATTTCAATAAGTCAGTGTCTTTAAACAAACTCATTTAAACCCTTACATAGAGTTGCAAGCGACTTGGTTTTATTAAAAACGTAGATCTGAAATATTCAATACATAATGTAATATTTTGTCACTTTCTAAAGTAAACCTAGTTTTTGTTACTTTTAATTGAAAGTAATGATGATTCTTTGGGCTCCACATGTAGTCACAATTTGCGATATATCTTCGTCGTTGGATATTGGTTTCCATCATTAACACAGCCTATTAATAATATAACCTCAGGTTTGGCTGTAGGCCTACAGTGTACGTGCTCGGCGCGAGTATAGACGAGACGACTCTGTTCCATCTTAGAACATAATTGTGTATTGTGTACCTCCTACCAAGGTGTCGTGCTCCACATCACAACTGTGAAGATTGTGTCAAGAATTGCCGAAATTGATCATAATTAAATTTTTTCTAAGTATTACATTTTAATACTTTAACCAGGTATGCAAAAACAATATTCTTTTTTTATATAGTAAATAAATAAATAAATAAATAAATAAATAAATAAATAAATAAATAAATAAATAAATAAATAAATAAATAAAAAATAAATAAATAAATGTTTAATAATATAAATTTTAGAAAGGAGCGAGCCCGAATGTAAAAACCTCAAGAGTCAATATGAATTAGCGTTGACAGTTGATTTTGTAGTAATGTTAAACAATACATGCCTAGAAAGCTTTGCCTATACGAAGTTAGCAACAAAAAATAATTGGATACCAAATGTTGATAGTAATTACTGTAGAGTGATTAGAACAATATTACGAATTCAATATGCTCTAAAAATAAACCAAATTTGTTAAATAATAATACACATATCTTATGTAAAATACGCTGAGCTAAGATTTGGTTTTAAACCTCTGCTAAAATTTTTTAAATGATATAGAAAACCTGTGGTAGTCAATTTCCATAAAAACCTAATCTTTAAAAACCAACATACACTTGCAAAACCTTTACATAGGCTAGTGTAAAATATGAAACTAGTATTTCGTATTTCTAAAGCATTGAATGCCACAATGAGAACGGATTTTATCCCTCAGGTCTATTGATCTTTAAGGTGTAAAAAATGTAAATGTTGCTCAACAGTTTCCTTGGCCTTTCATAACCGGCCTTTCAGTGCGCGACACCTAGTCGATGTGTATGCATATTTGATGGCTCAATGATGGAACGTCAAGTGGAGAGTGTAACTACTCGCCATCGCCACTGTCACAGGCAGGCCACTTAACACTGCTATGTAGCCTTACTGTACGTGGGTGGGCACTGGTCATCCTAGCTCTGTTGAGAATATTCTATACTATATGTAAGGTTTGCTTCCTCTCTTTCCTTATATGTATACATATATTGTATATTGTTGAATAAGGAGAAACGCGTACCCGGTCTCACATTTGATAGGCTAATAATATTAACACCATTATAGATTAATATACAATGTTTGGAAGATTGTTTAGGTATAATAAAAATACTGACTTGCATTAATATTTTATTAAAATACTACTCAAGACATAAATTATTATCACATTTGCTTAAATTACTTAACATAAGTACAAAATACAATTACTTACTACAAGCTTAGGTCGTATTGAGTTGCGAAGGACTTAAAGTTAATAAATGCAGAACAAAGCTGAGTGATTGATTACATATTCAATTGACAAGATTCGATAATTTCCAGTGTATTTTGAACAGTGTACTGTCGTATATAATGTGGCTATCAAAAGTAATGCTTGCACTACACAAGACAACAATTTTGCCACCACTCAACTACTGGAACATTGTATTGCGGTAAATTTTACTTTGCAAGCAGCAATTTATATTTATAGTTATTTTAACATGAGTGATATCCATATAGCTCGAATTGAACGCGTGTTCGTACAAATAATAAACGAACGGTGGATCAGTCATAATGATTTGTCCTACATTTAATAACGAAAAATGATGGCATCTTAAATGGCTCGATATAATTTATCTTTGCTATTCTAGAAGGATTGTGCTGTGTGGTCTACAGCTGAAGTGTCTACTGTCTACTGTCTAGTACTCGTGAGCGTGTGGATCAGGGGCCGCCTCCGCAGCTGCCTTAGCTCTGGCCAACTCGCTGAAGAACACCTGCTTGGCTGCAGCCACGTCGTGGCTGTCAGGGATGTCCACGGGCACCGCGGCCGTCGGCAAGTTGGAGGCTGCCACTCGGAACCCGTTGTGCTTTAAAATAGGTAATCAATTCAATTTTTTTTTCTTTCAAAAGCGCAACTGCTACTTTTCTATATACAGTACTTAATTACGATTTTGTATATAAGTACTGAGTGAAGAAAGAATGGATTGGCCCTAATTAATTTCACCTTTTACTTGCGAATATTGAAGCCAATCTTTATATCTGTATAATTAAAAAATGACCTCTACCTTTTACTTTCAATGTAAAAAACTGTCATTTTTGAGGATTTGCTCAAAGCTTGAATAAACGGATATTATTAAAACTCCCCATTAACCTCGAAGCAAAAACAAAAATTATGTATCTGGTCAATACCAGATTCGTTTGTTGAATTAAAGTGTGTTCAGAGCCTTTTAAGTTTTCAGCTAAGGTAGTAAACTTGGAATATGTTAAGATTTGCAAAGCTGTAGGTCATAAATATAAAACTTAATAATTAGAGGATGAAGACAATGAAATAAACCCCTCCCCCGCTGTTTTAGAGCAAAATTGATAAAACCATTAAAACACCTTTTAAACTATTTTTAAACTAGAGGGCAGCGAAAACCATTACTAATGGTAAAAAAATTAAATTAGGTATTGTTAATATGCTTCTTATTATAACTAATTATTGAAAGGAATAGTCGGTGTGTGCTCGTGTATACTTAGCAGTACTTACGTCATCAGAGACGTAGTTGACACTCTGGACGAGGCCGTGGGAGTCGAGGTAGGAGTAACCTCCTCTAGTGATGCCGTCAACTGTCTTGGTCTCCACCTTGGAGGAGAGAGGGTTGCTGTAGCTGTAGCTGTACTGACCGAGCTCATCCTGGGCGTGGGACTGGCTGGAGACTACGGCAACGGGGGCGGCGACCACAGCAGCGGGGGCGGCGTGAACAGCGGGGGCGGCGTGAACTACGGGGGTGGCGTGAACAGCGGGGGCAGCGTGAACAGTGGGGGCAGCGTGAACAGCGGGGGCAGCGTGAACTACGGGGGTGGCGTGAAAAGCGGGGGCAGCGTGTGCCAGAGGAAGAGCTGGGCCCGGGGTGACATGAACCTCAGGCGAAACGTAAGACACTGGAGAGGGTGAGGGTGAGGCGACAATCACTGGAGTTGGAGAAGGTTCTGCAGGAACAACAGGGACGACGGTAGGTTGTGGCGAAGGAGCGGCATCGTGTGGAACAGCCACGGAGGAGGGGTGGAAGTAGACTTGTGGTGAAGGTGGAGGGAAGTCAGAGGAGTCGAGTTCCACCGTGGCATATGAGTGAGCGTGCTCAGCGGGAGCAGCGTATGAGGATGGAGTGACATGGGCTACGTAGGGTGCAGGGGTAGGAGCGTGATAGGGAGCTGGAGTTACAGAGACCACGGGAGCAGCAGAAGGAGATACATAGGTGATGGGTGCGGGAGTTACGTGTACCTCTGGTGGGGCCGGAGTAGAAGGGGCAGCGGGAGCAGCAGGTACAAAAACAGTGGGCGCAGGACCGTGGGCTACGGGGGCCTCCACGAACACTGGTGATGGGCCATGGGACACTTCGTTCTCGTGGGCAATCTGAAATATAATATTTAAACTGTCATATTAGGGCTACACGTATTGAACGAAAAAAAACACACATTAATGTTACATATGTGTCAACTTTTCAACACATACTGGCTAAAGTCTTTACGAATCTTTGACTGTGTCTTACTAATAGATTTAATTATCTAATTTGATAAACAATAGCCCCCCCCCCCTATTGGGAAGTATAATTTATTGTAGTTGGTACGGTAAGATCCAGTATCCAGGACCGATTTACTCACCGCGGCGTCATGGGCGGCGGCCTCGTGCAGGGCAGCGACTGCCTTGGCCTTCTCAGCAGCTACCAGGGGCTCGTCATGCTGCGGCGTCACCGGTCCTAGGGGCAAGTTGGAGGCGGCCACACGGAAACCGTTCACCTATACACACAGGGTACCATACATATTCAAAACAAAATAATAGCTGAAATGCCTTCCTGTCAACACAGATATAGCTCTAGTTAGCACTTATTTACACGGTTCCTTGAGACGACCTCCTCTAGCTTTCGAACACTGGTAAATTATTGAAACATTTTCAGGAGTTAGTCCCACAATTTTACGGCTGATCCGGGACTTTTTCCCACTTACATTGCAAGGCATTTTCGCCTACAAGCCATTGTGTGGTTGTAGGTTGGTTGCTGTATCTCTGAGCGAATAATAATGACACTAAAGAGATTTCTTCGAAAGGAAATATTCAAACCCCTTTTCCCTATAGGAAAGTTGCTATTACCGTAGTTAGCACGGTAAGACCTGCGCCCGGGGCCGATATCCTTTTTCATTTTGGTAGCCCTAGAAGCCAATACCTATATTCGTTCAAATATATATGTATATTCATTCAAATGAATATAATATATTATTCATTTCATCGGGGGTATTAAATTTTGAAGCTGGTATGTGGAAACTTCACGCTAGCCGGTCTTTTGCCATGGTAATGAAAAAATGTACATTAAAAAGGTACATAAGCGGTTTCGGAAGGCCGGGAGTGCAGCGTGAGAGGAGGCAAAGCTAGCCAAAAAAAGCTAGTAAATGTTTATTTTATTTTACCTTCCAATGGTCAAAAACCAGCTTAAAATAAAAAATATAAAGATTAATTATTTTAACTTAATGTTAAGGATACTCCGATAACTTTTTATTTAAAGTCAGTGTTGTAGAGATCAAGACATGTACTACTGGAGTGATTGCTTCTACCTCACGTATTTCTATAGTGTACAACAATAGACAATATAGCGCAACAATGGTCAGCATACAGACTCATGTGGGATTGTGGGGTCACAACATAAGTACATGGCCAATAATCAAGTCTGGAACCCTAAAACTTCACCCATTTTTTGTTAGTTTAAACAATGTCAGAACTTAAACTTTTGATATAATCATACAGCGATAACCGCATCAACAAAATTTTCTTGCCGAACAACTATTTCACTTTGATTTGTGCATTTGAAAATGTTAAGCCTAGGTACCTATATAATACCATGATAATACACTTGCCTTCGAATTTACATGCTTAGTAATTATTAATTAACATGTAAGCATTTTAAATTTATGTATACGTTTTATGTATATAAACCTTATTATGTTTTTATTTCATGAACGGAAATTTACATTTAATTTTCATTTCATTGTTAATCTTTAGTATATTTCAGAAAAGGGTGCAAAGGAATGACAACATTGAGAAAGAAATGTAATTAAAGATGTAAAAACGCTGAGTAGGAAATTAAAGTCGCTGACTTTGAAAATCCAAACATCAAGAAACTAATGAACTGCAATCAGATTTGCTCTGAAAGTTGGTAATCAGGACAACCGTAATCAAGATCAGTTGGGTCTGGGACTTTTATAACTTCGTTACCCAGGCCGGCCGACTCAAGCCAACCCCCCCCCACCCAGGCCAATGGCACGCAATCAATTTATTGCTGGCTTAAATGGGACTTAACACTTTGAAGGTGTGTTTAAGCAGTTTAAGTGCGCCTTCAGTTACGGTTTTATTTCAACAAGACTTTCTAAAACGGTTATTGTACTTCTTGAAGTTCTTTTCGACTAACAAGTGCTGCTTATTTATGGCCATCGTTTAGGACCCCAGAGTTTTTCTCAGGATTTAAAACTCCTAGTATTATATGATAACGAGGCAACTGTTTAAAATTACTGCACAATGTGAAACCTAATTACAGCTAATTAATAAAAACAGGTAAAACGTCGTTTCAACTAACACCTCAGTAATTTGTCAAGGTTTCACACTTTATTGTTGTGACTCCAAACGAGTCTGTATACTGACTGTACTTCTCTACTTTTGTAGACCACAGAAACACGTGAGGTAGAAGCAATCACTGCAGCAGTACATGTCTCTAAAGCACTGACTTTAATGTACAAGTTAATGGGGCATCCTTTAACATGAACCTGCTTAATATTGGTTTATGCTCATAGAATGGGGAAGTAATCTACTCTACGTCTACGTCACTAAACGATGATAAACAAAATAGAAGTATGATTCCACCTCTGATCAAAGATAAATATACAAGTGATATCATTGTTTTCGATTGAAGACATTTTGGAGTACCACGATACTCCTTTCAAAAAGGCATCAATCCACTTCTAACCATACTATACCACTCGGTTGATAAACCGTAATTCCTTGTAATCTTAAGAGGGAATAGTCCCGGGTCGAACATCTTATCACCATTTTCTGTGCGAGATAAACTGTCATGGAAGCTGGTCAATTCGTCTATTGGTAATTACTTTGTCCTGTTAAGGAAAATGACAAGTTTTCGCAGATTTTACATTGTAAATACAGAACAATTTGATATTAAAAAGCTTTAGCATACAAAAACATAGAGTTTTTTGTTTTATTTGTTGGGCATATCAAGTTCAGAGTCAATGTTCATTACATATTTTACCCTGCATGTTTCTTGTTGCAAATGTAGCTTTTTAATGTATTGCAAATCCATGTAATACATACAGATTATATATGTATGTAATTTATTTAGTTTTAGAACCGATAGAACTTTGTTAGATAATATTGTAGTCTGCACGTGATCCTGTGATAAACTGTTCCAACACACAAGTAATGACATACAAGCAAAGTACTTACGTCATCAGAGACGTAGTTGACACTCTGGACGAGGCCGTGGGAGTCGAGGTAGGAGTAACCTCCTCTAGTGATACCGTCAACTGTCTTGGTCTCCACCTTGGAGGAGAGAGGGTTGCTGTAGCTGTAGCTGTACTGACCGAGCTCATCCTGGGCGTGGGACTGGCTGGAGACTACGGCTACGGGGGCGGCGACCACAGCAGCGGGGGCGGCGTGAACAGCGGGGGCGGCGTGAACTATGGGGGTGGCGTGAACAGCGTGAGGCAGCTCCGGCACCACTATAGGTCTCGACGGCGCGGCCAAAGTCGCACAAACAAATGCGGACAAAGCCAACTACAAAAATAATAATGAACATCAGAAACTATAACATCCCTGTGACATATGAACTAAAACAATTACAAACGAATCAAAATTGTAGTATGGAGGATATTCTACTCATTTGCTGCCAAGTTAAGTTCACCACCGATTCTAAAACATCTTGGTAAAATACACCGCCGAACTAATGTTTTGTTAGGGGCTACAGCGTTTGATATTACCATAGACAAAACATACTGTGTTGCTTATTAGTCTATGATATTACGCAACAACAGAAAATATTATGTTGGATTGTAAATTTCAGTTCTAATTCAATCAGTATTTCAATATCAACTTCAGTATAATATACTACCGGTACCATGTTATCACCTAGGAGGATAGCCCTAATAATACATATAAATTAATCGTATTAATTACCATTAATTGATTAATTACTATTAATGAACTTATATCACTAATATAAATCCTCATAGGTTCTCACTGACTTAAGAACTTCACAATCACTATTAAAAACTTTTCTGCGGTCGTTAGTAACCACTCAGTGAAATTACAACATTAGACTACTTATTACACAACTTTGGTTGTGATTTCATCTTCAGAATTAAGCTATGTGTAAATAATTACAATTAATGACTTTGGAAAACTGTTTAAATGTGGTTTAAACGTTTAGTTAAAGCGTTGAATATATTTAAGTCATGTAAACGAGTGCGTATTTTTATTACAGAATAGAATTGTTTCTTTTTAAGCATATTTTGACACAATTATACAGATCAGTTTGACAAAAACTTAATAAAGACTAGTGGCTTGTAGGGACATAAGTCCCTAAAAAGCTCAAATGTAAAACAACTTTTTGCAATACCGGTATTTAAACAAACTCAGAATAACGTTATCTATGTGTCAGAATAGGCATCCCTACACCATATCTTTTGTGTAAAAACCAGTTTGTTGTTCTTCTTTGTTTGCTTTTGTTGATGTCATTTTCAATAAATAATTTGAATCACTCCAGTGGTTTAACATGAAAAGGCAGCAAACATATCATTGTTTGTGAATAAATACTGGTTTACTAAGGTAGCTTTGGTCTTGTGGTTAATGAGGATAAATAAAAGCTTCCCTGTGTGAAATTTTAAAAATTCATTGGAGGTTCGCCTTCAGATGAATTGAAGACGCCTGCAATTTCATCTGCAGTAGGCTTATTATACCTACGACGATCCATATTTATCCTGTCTACAAACCTAAGTTCTAATTCACTGTCACCTTGTACAACCATTTCTTCCGAAGCTCTTTTGTAAATTTGTGCAAATGGATTTTCTAATAGAATTTCAGCTAGTTTTGACAATATTTCAGGTTTTAAGTCCCTATTTTCTCGACGCCTTTGACGAATTTCTGTTGCCGTTGATGTGTCAATAATGTACAATTGGCCATACACGGGGTCTTCATCATGTTGAGGCAGCAAATCTGAGATTGAACGATAAATCTGTCCTTGAATTTTGAAACAGTATGGTCCTTTTCCTGGAATATCTTTCTTACTGGCTGAAAAATAAGCAAAAGCCATCGCACTGTTGCATTGTCGAATGAATTTATACAGTTGTGGGCTCTCTTCAAACAAACTTTTAAGTTCTACATTAGTTTTTGACTGAGGAAGGTCCGTTATGGCAACATGTCATAAAATGATTATTCGTTAGTTCTTCTCTAAAATGAAGAGCACTACATTTAATGCACTCTTGGTCCAGTAATCCTGCATCATGGATCTTTACATTTCTCTCGTCTACCATGGGTCTCCTAAAAAGGGGTTGTAACATATCTTGATTAATAAGTTCGTCATTATCTACTCTTGCTCTCCTACGCGCACTGTCATTCCTATGAACAGTTCCCCGCCTTTGTGGTATTCCCCTGGCGTTCATATTAATTACAGTACTTATAATGAAAAGAATATATATCCAGCAGCCTACATACCAAAACATCTTGAATCCCTGGTGATTTTATAAAAGTATGATCGAATATGATTACTCTACGTTGTATATTCACTGCACTAAAAAAATTTACTTACGAAGGAATGCAAATACACCATTTTAGAACCGATAACATTTATAGGTTATTTTAGTTGTATATATTTACACAACCTTAACCTTAAAATGTGTAGAAATATAAAGAAAACAACATCATTTAAAATAAACTTGAACATATGATTTAAAAATAAAAACAAAACAGAAGTTAGATTTAATTTCGACTCTTTGATTATTTATACAGAATATTTATTCTATGTCGTTTATTCCTTTAACACGACAATAACGTAAAAGCATGAAAAAATGAAACTTGAGTATATAATTTAAATATAAACAAAGAATTTTCCGACTAATCTTCAATATTTCAGTTTTATTATAGTATACATTTCATAGTTGACTGGCCAAAAGTAAACCAAATGCGTGTATTGATCACTGTTTTCAAATCTGTGGCACAGCTGTTTTAATTTCAAAAGATGTAAACAAATTAAACCCCATGTTGTTTTAATGGGAAAAGTTTTATTCTGTTGCGAATTTATGGTAAAAAATAAGAAAAATGAATAGTTTTCCCTCAAAATTCACGTCAAGACCTTTAAAATAAGACCCCTCCCATCCTTCTACGGCCATCCAGTCACTCACAATTTCTTTACAAAAATTTGACTTACGGAATTATATATAGGCCTATAGATTGGTAAATTTTGTTACGTCGATAATTTATCTATGCTAATGAAGTAACCGAAGTATTTAGTAACTAAAAGTTACTAAACCTAAAGTAAAGGGGTTTAGTAATGTACCTAATAATACTTAATATTACCTAATAATAATTAGCTGGTGTCCAAAATCTATTGTTGGTGACAAAACTCGTAAACTAAAGGAGGATTGAAAGAGAGGGAGAAATGATGTAATATAGAAGACCCGATTATTTACAAAACCCTTCGCCAGGCGGCGCGGCGAGCAATCACGGCAGATGTGCCACTTTGATCCACGTGGCCAATATTTTATAACCGCGTCTTTTTAGTAAAAGTGTCTCCTTTTCCAGCGATTCCTTATTTTAGGCCGTTTCTCTTTTCCAAGAACATATTCAACTTTTTTAAGATGAACAGTTTTTTTGAGTTCTGCTTTATTTAACTGAACATTTTTATGTAAATACAATATAAAAACTTTTATTCTAGCATAAACTATACATTGTATACATTGGTTCTAGTGTTTTTTTTTTACCAATGAAATATTTTTCTCGTCCCTCTGATTAAAATCTGTTCATATAATTTATTTTTAGTTTTTGGATTAAAACTTAAGCCTTAATACTTATAATTAACGAATTTTTGGTGTAAATTTAAATCAAGAAACACCTATTTACTTTGTAAGTTATCTAACAACTGTGTACAAATCAAACTTTAAAACACACCGGTGATGACAATCCTCTGTCTGAGCGTGTATACGAGTATACATTGTGAACGCTACGCGATGGCCATCATTAATCTTATGTTTCGTTTGAAAATTAAAACCAACGCCCAGCTATCTCAGTGTAGGATACAGTTTGTTTCCGAGTATCTTGATTATCCTACTTTGTCTGTATAGTAAAGTGTATAGTTTTATACAGTCTTTGAACCTTATCTTGGTATAGTTTGGTAAATGAACCTGTTTCTCCAGAATTTATATAGTTGATACAAAAATGTGAGCAGAGTTTACTTTAATTATGTTTTCAAACTCAGTTTTAGGAATTCACAGGTAAACTGTATATTAGTTTTTCATTTTGAGATTATTATGAAGCTATAGTATGTATAAAAGTCTCAGATTTAACGTAAATACACAAACAAATTTACATTTAAATAATTGTTATTAATATTTACGTCTATTGTCAACACGTGACAGTGAATTGACCTGTGATTGATATAAGTTTAATTAAAATGCTCTACACATTTCTCTCGACTTATCTTGTCCATACGTTATATATTAATGTTAATCCATGTTAATGTATCACACCTAGTTTATGTTAACATCAGTGTATATTTGGTGTATGCTTATATCTAGCTAATAGTTTATCTTGACTAATCTGCTTTTAGTGTGTATTTCCTTTACAATGGTTTTTGGCGTAGCTGATATTGTTCATGCTAATATAATTGTATATTTATACTACGCCGGTGCCAGACTCAGCTTTCTTGATGCTAACAAGGTTTTAGAGTATACTTGCTCCTCTCCGGGATCTGTCTTTGCTTATCTTGTTGATGACGATATCAGTTTATCTTGCGTAGAGTATCTACGTTGGTCACTGGTATAGTTATTTTTGTTGATGCTGAATAAGTGAATTACGTAGGTCCCTGGCTTAGCTTATCTTGTTGATACTGATACAAGTGAATATTTGTTCTACGTGGGTCCCTGGCTTAGCTTATCTTGTTGATACTGATACAAGTGAATATTTGTTCTACATGGGTCCCTGGCTTAGCTTATCTTGTTGATACTGATACAAGTGAATATTTGTTCTACGTGGGTCCCTGGCTTAGCTTATCTTGTTGATACTGATACAAGTGAATATTTAATCTACGTGGGTTCCTGGCTTAGCTTATCTTGTCTCTTGTCGATGCTAACATCAGTGAATATTTTGTTCTACGTGGGTCCTTGGCTTAGCTTATCTTGTTGATGCCAACATCAGCGTATTTGTTCTAAGTGGGTCCCTACATGGGGTATCTTGTTGATACTAATATCCCTATCAGTGCACTGTGAATAGTTAGTGCACCTGGTGAGGAGCCGCTGCGATCGATCCAGGTGGCTTTGTGCCGACTATCTGCCCGGGTTAGATCGACTGAATGTGTTATTGTTTCATTGTCACACCACAAAATCTGTGTCGTGTTTCATTGAAATACATTAACAAAGTAAAATATATATTGTAACCTTTTTTAATTAGCTTAATTTTGTGTTTTTAATTTTTTTTTATCCCAGTGTTTGATAGATTGCCAGAACTACTGGAGCGTTTTAATACATTTTAAGTTTAGTTGTAATCGTGTGAACTAAATGAATATT